AGATACTGCTGAGTAGGGATCCGCTACCCTGAAAAAAAAGTAAAGAAAGATACAAGTTGGTAGTTCTTTTTCTCACATGGATAGTCCCTTTGGACTTAAATTAACATACTGTCACTCTTAAAACTCAAATATTCTACCGCTATGCATCCTTTTCAAAGCATGCATGATTATACAAACAGGAACAGATCATTGTATATAAATGGAAAATAAGGCAGCATGGTAGGAAGGTGGGTCTAAAGAAAGCTACAGGATGACACTATCATAGTACTGAATACAGAGTAAATGGACTCTTTGAATATATAACCTAAAACTCTAAACTGTGAAGTTTAGCTACTCTACTACACAGAATATATTTTTCAAGATATTTGAATTTTACTATATGTAATTCCAGGAAAGTAAGACCATGTTGGAAAAGTAAAACTAACTAAAGTACATTGTTATATTTTAGAAAAAATGAGAAAGTGACAAATTCTACATTTTTATGAATGTTTTTACTCAATAGACATTTTACAATCTCTTGAGATTTGAATTTATAACATAGTTTTTCTAATCCTTTCACTGTTTAAAAACAAAAAAAGAGTAACAACGGAAGGCAGTTTTTTCAAACTCTGTGCTACAAAAATATGATAATAAAGTCCAGAAATAAATCTTAACTTCAGAGTAAATCAATGCATAAAACTCAATCTCTATACACAATTATTAACACTTTTCTTTCTTTTATTGACTTTTTTTTTTTTAGTGTGTAGTACTGGGGATTGAATCTAGGGCCTTTGCACTGACCCGTATCCCAAGTCTTTTTTAAATTAATTTATTTTGAAACAGGATCTTGCTAAATTGCCTAAATTGCAGGGCTCGAAATGATTCTCCTGCCTCAGCCTCAGAGTGCTGAGATTAGTGCCACTTTTTTTTTCTTTCATCATCTTTTGTTTACTGTTTAAGATTATTGGATTGTAACACACATAAACAAACAGCATAAACTCTGAACATAAGCTTGATGAATTCTCACAAAGTGAACATATTCATGTTACCACCACAATGTAACCATCAACTTTTAAAGTGGTAACAGCTAAAAAATAAGGATGAAAACGGCTACAACCACCACAGAAAGGTGACTAGCAAACACGAGTAAGTGTAACTAAATCAAGTAGAAAACACCACATATGTGCTCTGTATCTTCACAGCATAAGAAAATACAAGGTCTCAATCTGATGGGCGCCTAAACCTGGAACCTCTTCCTACTGTACTCCCCACCCGCTCCACGCAGTGGTCCTCTATTTCAAAGAAGGCACCAGAAAAAAAATACAAAACTTCTGGACTAACTAGACTGTTTAGCAACGTTGTTTCCTTTCCAGAGCTACATCCCTATAATTCTACAAAATGTGACCTTACACAGTAACTTTAAAGTTGAAACTCAACTTTTCAACGTTTCGGTGCTTTCCTCTTTCCCCTTTGTTACCTTAATTTACATGTTTGTTGTGAAGCATCTCCTAATTCTGCATCCAGTCTAAACGCCTAGAAGTTATTCAAGACGGTAGGAGAGGGGTCACACAGGCTCTGGTCACCATTTACCTGGTAAATACAAGCCTCTCCTAGATCAGGGTCCCGAGTTATTTTTAGCCCTGGAGATCAGAAATGCTCGGGTGTTACTCAGTGAACCCTTTCCTACAGCAGTAGGAAATCCTTTGTATTTTGAGCGCAGTCTTGGACCCAGCAGTAACTTTCCGGATTTATTAACCGTTGACACAGGTCTCCTCTCGTTTTGCTCGGAATTTATGAACAATTTAGCCACACATGGACCCGTAACATTCGGGGGACTCTTCTGGCAGAGGAATCCACAAAATGAGAGGCCTCTAGTATCCAAACGAGGGAACAGTGTAGGCTCTGCAAAGCTCAGCAACGTTCCTGAGAGCCACCGATGCCTGCCCTGATTTTGGGAGCGCGCCAGCTGGCTAAGCCTTAGGGCCGAGGGGCAAAAGGAGTCCTGGGAACAGGGGTATCACGCGGGACGCCTCAGAGGAGCCCAGGCGAGCCCCCCACCCGCAGCTCCCACCACAAAGAGTCACCGCTCGGCATCCCGTCACTAGGGCAACGCGGCAACCCGACACCCAGGCTCAGCAGTCCGCATCCACCGCCCCCGGCGGAGAGAAGGAGCGCATCCCCGGCGGGCTGCGGGGCTC